TGCTTTGTTTAAAGGTATGCTAAGAAACATTAATACCAATGCATGTTTGACATAAAAGAAAATAATTAGCAGAGCATGTAGGTACAGAGACTTCAAATACTATTCTTTTTTTTTTTCTTTTTCACCAGGCCAGCTGATATTTGGCTGAACTTAGTCATAGATCAAGTACCAAACCATGTTGGGCTACCGTTTTTAACATTACAGTTTGGATCAGGCCAAGAGATAGAGTGATAAAAGCATGACTCAAGCCCTAGCTGTACTAGAGCTTAATCTTTCCAGCTATTGCAGTAAAAAGCACACAGCATCAGCTGTAACATGCATTTCACTTAACTGCCAAGTCTTCCTCTGCAGCTCAGCTCTTACAGAAAATATATGATCTGCTCTTACAATAAGAGTCATTAATGAGTTTTTGTATTTCAGAATAATTCCAGAAGCAATTTAAGCCATGAGAGATCTGAGGATGTCTGGTCAGGTCTGAATAATATGAACTTTTTAGAACTTCTGAGAATATTATTTATATAAGGCTATTTATAAAAATTTTCATCTAATGCTAAGTATAAAAAGGGATAACACATCAACAGAAGACCTCACAGCATCATCACCTGAAGACTGGGCCCCACTAACGCTGTTCTTATGAGGAGAAATTTGACTGGACAACAGAAAAATAGATTCTGCAATTAAAGAAACACTATTCTTGTACTTGTTGAGGCTGTAAAGTTCCCGGGATGCTATCCCTCTTGATAAATGCTGTTCCACTGGATGGGTCTTGATTACAATACACTGGGGTTTATTTTAAACAATCTCATTCTGTAATTGTATTTTTCACATTTTAGTCAACTTTGGAAAATATCTAAGAAGCTATTTTTAGAGCAAATAAAACTCTTAAGACTGAGTGTTCCTGATTCAGCGTGATTGAAATATCCTTGGCATGGGATTCTTCTGTCTGTTACGGTGTGGTGTCACTTACCCTCTGCCAAGTGAGGAGAAAGATGCCCCAAGCTGGACTTCTGCAGCCCGTCTCATGCCCTCATTGCCCACTTGCCTTCCGGGGGCGTGAGCGGCTGCTGAGGCTGGAGGAGCAGCAGGCGGGCTCCTCACAGCTGCTCTCTGCAGAGGCAGCGCAGTGGCATGTGGAAGTGCTGGCTCACATCCATGGAGAATTTCATCTCACTGCAATTAAAAACATTTATATGAAAGTAGAGCTGAAATTTGGGGGGAAGAAGGGAGAGGAGGGAGAGGTATCGCGCTGTCGCACTGCATTACTTTAACAGGTACACACGCAATGGGTGATGCAAGTACGTGTTGATAGCTTGATGTAAGCAATAAATTTAAAAATGCTTTACGTAAGTTCTCCCATTAGCCACACCAAGCAAATAAAAAGCAAGCACGTTACAGGAATAAGCTGTAACAGGCCGTGCATCATCATGCGATTGGTACCACCAGGCATTCTGTGAAGCAGGACGTGAAGGAACTAAAGCCTGGAGTCCAAAGCTGAGGAGCAAAGTCTCTGATCATCCTTGCCTTATTCGGGCCAAAATCACTTTAGTGATGCCTAGTTCACCGAGGGATGTGCCTGCTGGGCCTCACAGCCCGTCCCCTTGGCCTGGCTGATTTAGGGGCCCCTCTCCCACAAGCACAGGGCAGGAACCCTGCAGATCTGCAGGCACCAAGTTTGCTGGTAGCTGCAGCGACTCCCTACGCAGGCAGATCTGAATGTGCTCACGTACCCTGCACATGGATATGGGCACATTTACTTGATATTTAAACAGTTATAAACACAACTGTTTCATTCAATGAGTTCAATTTTTGTTTCCACACACACTGAATTTAAACATCTTTACAAATCCCTCCCCTCGGCTGTTTCTAAAATATTAGTATGGAAGAGGAAAACACTGTTTGCACTGGATCAGGTTATTTCTCCCTTCCCATCCTCTTCTAGCCACGTACATCCTTAGTTAGATGATAAAGACAAGCCACAGGATGCCAAGATGCTTGGCTTTGATAACTTGTCTTTTTTTTTTTTTTTTTTTCCCCTCAATTGATTTGAGCTGATTGAGAATCAGGGGGAGAAGGGCAGGATTTTATCTCCTTTGCATTTAGAAGAGAACAGAGAGAGCAACAGAGGGCATAAATAAATAAATAAACAAACAAATAAATAAAGGCAACACTGACAGATTTCTGCCTTCCAGCACTGTCAGCTCAGAACCCAAAGCTCTGGGACCTAGACCTGAATTCCCTCCTATTTTAATATCATGCTCCAGACTTGTATTTTCCAGGCAATCCAGTCCAATCCTAATTTTAATTACATGATAGGCGATCATGAATGAAATAAAAACCTAACATCATTATCAACTATGTAAGATACCACCATCAGCACCACATTACCCTATTTATTCAATACTTCTCACTCCAACTGTCCAGGAGTAGGGCCAGCAGCCCTTTCCCAGGCACAGCACCTGGGGAATCCAAGGCAGTTTAGTCCAGGATATAAAGCCAGAGTGGAATCCTCCTGTTGCAGGCACCCTTTAAACCAAGTTCCCCAAGGCAGCCAGCTCACTGCCCCAGCCCTGTTTTCCTCACCCTGCATGGGACATCTTCTTTTGTATCTGTACAAGGGTTTATGGGGCCAAACAGTGAATCAGGTCCTAACAAAATCTTGTGGGATTCCTGACACAGCTCACAGTCCCACGAACGCTTGTGCCGTGGCAAGGCAGGGTGATAGAAACGATAAGTCGAAGGCACTTGGAAAAGCACAACTGCTTCATTCAGCAAGGGATGCTCTCTTATGATAACACACGTGCTGGCAAAACAGCTCAGGCTGTAAGCAGCCCCTCACGCACAACGTGAGGAGCAGGTTTCCAGAGGGAGACCAAGGCTCCAAGGAGCTGCAGCTTCGCTGGCATCCACCACATCCGCCGCTATCAGCCCTGACACGAGTCAAGCAGTCCAGCCCTTAACCTTGCCTTTCTTTCAGAAATGTGCTATCAAGCAGCACCATCAGAATGAAGATCCAGGCAAGCCTGGCATGCATCAAGTCCTCTTCACATGGAGAGATCCACCAGACTGAGAAAACACCTTGTCAAATGATGTGACATCATTTAAAGCCTTAAATGATTGGGAGGATGGAAAATACATTTAGTGCAACGAACACCACTGAAATACTAAGTAAACAACCTATTATTGCCATTAATTCTAGAGCAGCTTGTAGCCAGCCGAGTCAGCCTAGGGTTGACTTACAGCAACAGATCCTTTTCCAAAGGACCTGCAAGCTGAGCTGCAGACACGACACAATAGAAGGAGGGAGGCAAGTAAGTGGGTGTGAGCGCAGAAAAACATGTCATCAAGCTTTACTATTGACTGCTTGCACGGAACATTCTCCAGGTTTACTTAAAAAAATACTTGGTGTGTCTGTGTCTGCAGAGAAGGGCACAGAGACCTTCCCCCGCCAGGGCAACTGTACACTGCTCGGAGCTGCTTTCCTCTTTCATTTGCACTGAGCTGGGACCGTAGTCCAGCACATGAAAAGAGCAGCACATGAAATGAAGCAACAGGTCTGGTGAGCTGCGCGCGTTACCGAGTTGAAATACAGGCCTTTGCTGGAAGCAGCTCACCTTTGAAGTCACTTGATACTGGTGCTGCTGAGCTGGCACCAAAAGCGCAAAGAAACGGGCATGGTAACGCGCGGGGCGGCTGCGTGAATGCTACTGCCCTGTACAAACTCGCACAGCTAAAGCGACTCGGGGGAAAATCAGATAAGCCCAAGCAAAATTGGACTCCACCAACAAATTAGCTGAATATCTTAAAGCAGAAATCCCAGCTAACACTCTTAAAACATGTTATTGGCAGAATTTAACATACTGCTTGTGTAAATGCACCAGAACAGAACATCCACGCGGGACACAGTCTCACACTCCACAGAGGAGGAGAATCACCTGTGCCTTGAAAGAGCTCCTACTTATTGGAAACATATTATCAAGAGCTTACTAGCACTAACAGTAACGTGGCTTAATTATGTGATTATTTGGCCTATTACCTCTGAAAGAAATATTGTTCATCACTCAAGTCGTGCTTGCAAGCAGGTCTTCGGAAAACATGTAAAAAGCCTTAAGGAGAAATATTTAATCCCTGTTTCAAGTTAATATAATACCATAATCTCCTATAGTGTATTTTTTTACATGTAATTGGGCTATTAGGTTATGCATTTAAAAAGTCATGCAGCCTAATTTTTTTTTTTTTTTTTAAATTCACTGAATCTCCTCTTGGTAGATGTACCTCAAAAATGGAGAAAACGTGCCTTTGGAAATGAAGAGAAACATGAGTCACTTTGCAAAAATGTTGGTTCCTACCATTAATGCAGATTTAACTGATAATTTCTAGCTGTTCTGTATTTTTTTTTCTTTCAGTTCGTCTCTTTTTTACAGTAGTAAACAAGGTATATCCATAACTGACTACAGGTGTCCTGCATGGCTCAAACACCACCAACAGGTTGAAGGATTAAAGCCAGAATATGTAACTTTATATAATCCTG